ACAGACATGTCATAGTTATATCAGGGTTATACTACATCTATGTAACAGTCATGTCATAGTTATATCAGGGTTATACTACATCTATGTAACAGCCATGTCATAGTTATATCAGGGTTATCCTACATCTATGTAACAGCCATGTTATAGTTATATCAGGGTTATTATGTAACAGTCATGTCATAGTAATATCAGGGTTATACTACATCTATGTAACAGCCATGTCATAGTTATATCAGGGTTATACTACATCTATTAACAGCATTGTCATAGTTATATCAGGGTTATACTACATCTATTAACAGCATTGTCATAGTTATATCAGGGTTATACTACATCTATTAACAGTCATGTCATAGTTATATGAGGGTTATACAACATCTATGTAACAGCCATGCCATAGTTACATAAGGGTTATACTACATCTATGTAACAGTCATGTCATAGTTATATGAGGGTTATACTACATATATGTAACAGCCATGTCATAGTTTTATCAGGGTTATACTACATCTATGTAACAGCCATGTCATAGCTTTATCTGGATTATACTACAACTATGTAACAGCCATGTCATAGTTATATGTGGGTTATACTACATCCATGCAACAGTCATGTCATAGTTATATGAGTGTTAAACTACATCAATGTAACAGCCATGCCATAGTTATATCAGGGTTATACTACATCTATTAACATCATTGTCATTGTTATATCAGGGTTATACTACATCTATGTAACAGCCATGTCATAGTTATATCAGGGTTATACTACATCCATGCAACAGTCATGTCATAGTTATATGAGGGTTATACTACATTTGTGTAACAGCCATGTCATAGTTTTATCAGGGTTATACTACATCTATTAACAGCATTGTCATTGTTATATCAGGGTTATACTACATCTGTGTAACAGCCATGTCATAGTTATATCAGGGTTATACTACATCTATGTTACAGCCATGTCATAGTTATATCCCAGATATACCACACAGGCTTGCAGAAATAGAGCTAGCATCAAGGCATATATTGTCACAGCCCCAGACAGCCCCAGACAGCCCCATACATGAACCAACTTGTCTGTATAGTGAACTCAAGTCACGCTCCAATAGCATGCATCTCACACATTAGCCTGTGACAATGTGAGTTGCTGAAATTCACATAAACTTTTCAGCTGTCTATTTAAAACACCTACCACCAAAATACAGTTCCAGTGAACCATTTCTAATACCTTTACAGAGATGCCAACCTCTACGATTTTATCGTAGTCACTACAAATTTTAGCCTCAAGCTATGCCAATATGATTGCACTAGAAATTCTACAAAATTTGAAGAAAATTTATTAAAATTCGGATATATAGACAAAAACATATATTTTCATCAATTAAATACATTTTCACCAAAAAGAGATGACAAGAAGAAATGTAATGCTGATAATTTGCAAATCTGCCGATGGAGGTGTGTGAAATTAAAGCTTCACTCTTGGTTAGTGTCATATTATCTTTCTCAGAATCCATCATGATTTTAAGTATTTAGTTGACTACAATTTTTATGATCAAACTACTAATTTTGATCCTTGAAACTACTAGTTGCAATGTGTTCACTGGCATCTCTGCCTTTACTGTAACTGAAACAAATTATCCCTAATCCACCGATAAACTCCCTGTTTCCTCCATGATCCATGTTTGTCAACAATGTATTTATTAATCCAGCCGACATCCAAATAAACAGAGCCTTCAGCCTTTCTTGGTTTAACATCAAGCAAATCTAGAAACATGATAAATAATTTCGCCACACTTATGATATTTAACCCCATATAGCCATATTATAAGAGGACGAAGGGGACATGGGTTGATGTACTCTCTATGTTTGTTTATGTTAGCATAGAAGGTACATTATAAGTTGTTCACTGGTCTCGAGGGGGACATGGGCTGATGTACCCTCGATGTTTGTTTATGTTCCCTGAGCCCAAAGAACATATGAACATAAAGAAACGTCGAGGGTGCATCAACCCATGGGCCCCGTCTCAGGGACCAGTGAACAACATATTTATCTTACCGAAAACCTCAATGGTAATTTTGAATTGTTTGAAGCACGGGTGCTGGATCATAGTATGGAGTACTAGACCACAAGAAAACAAAATTTAGAGTTATCACCCTTCCATCGATTTGCATTCGCAAAACACAGGTAATTTCCGAACATCATACGCGATTCAATGTTATTTGAGATAAAGAATTACTACTACGAAGTACCAAATGAGTTCGGCATTCCCAGCGGGGTACATAGAAAATATTACTCGCTTGTAAGCGGGGTACATTGAAAATAATACAAGAGGGCTCAGCCAATCAGAAAACAACATTTATGTGTGAGGCAAGATAATAAGCAATGGGCCCCGAGGGACTAGTGAACAAAGTATTTATCTTACCGAACACCTCAATGTTAATTTGAACTGTTTGAAGCACAGGTATTGGATCATAATAAGGAGTACCGGAGTTAGGCAACAGCCCAAACACTACTAACACGAAGTACCAAACGAATTCCCACAATTCAGCATTTCCAGCAGGTGACACAGAAAATGTTATTCGCTAGTAAGCGGGATACATTGATTGGCACAGCCAATCAGAAAACAACATTTTTGTGTGAGGTAAGATAAATATTCATATCATAATCATGTTTGTTAGTATGATTATTTTGACCCTTCAGGCACACCATACGTTGAATTTAGATTTTAGACATGCTACGATCAAAGGCGAGCATTACGTGCAATATGTGTACTCTTCTTTATGCAAATATCAAGTTTCAGTAAACTGTTCTTACAGTTCGATTAATTGAAAATCAGTTGATTTGGTTGCTGGTTAGCAAATATGGGGACTCCTCAAATGACAACTGCACAAAGATGGCAAGTTATTGATATGTGGAATGATGGCATGTCATTGAGGGCTACTGCAAGAGATGTTGGTTGTCATCAAAATTACATCAGCAAACTAACGACGTTAAGGACCGTCAGGGTTCAGGACGATCACATGCGGCAACTAATGGGGAGGTTACAGTCCTTGTCAGAATAACAAGTTGCATAACAACAGAATTCATTGACAAGTGGTGTAGGGTGTAGGGGTGTCTCTCACATCTACTGATGAGTTCCCCAGTCTATCTACTGGTGAGTTCCCCTGGAGAGTCCATCTACTGATGAGTTCCCCATCTATCTACTAATGAGTTCCCAGAGTCCATCTACTAATGAGTTCCCCTGGAGAGTCCATCTACAGATGAGTTCCCCTGAGAGTTCATCTACTGAAGTTCCCCAGCTACTGGTGAGTTCCCTGGAGAGTCCATCTACTTGTGAGTTCCCCTGAGAGTCCATCTACTGATGAGTTCCCCTGAGAGTCCATCTACTGATGAGATCCTCTGGAGAGTTCATCTACTAATGAGATCCTCTGGAGAGTCCATCTACTGATGAGATCCTCTGGAGAGTTCATCTACAGATGAGTTCCCCCTGGAGAGTCTATCTACTGGTGAGTTCCCCCTGGAGAGTCCATCTTCTGACGAGGTTCCCCAAGGAGAATCCATCTACTGAGGAATTCCCCCTAGAGAGTCCATCTACTGAGGAATTCCCCCTAGAGAGTCCATCTACTGAGGAATTCCCCTTAGAGAGTCCATCTACTGAGGAGGTTCCCCAAGGAGAGTCCATCTACTGATTGTCACTACCTTTGTCAAATTTCAAATGGTCATATGGTCATGGTAAGGCTTCAAATGAACATGAGGAATTAACAGCATATTTTGAAACAGTTGTCTTTCAACACAAATTGATAATGCTAAACAATAAATATGATAATATATTTCAATTATTAAAAGTATAAATATGATTCATAGGAAGGATTATTTCACATAAATATATATGCATAGCATGTTATAAGATATTTAATGCTTTTGAATCATATGCATACAAAAAGAAACAGAAAATGCTTTTTTTAAGAGACATTGGTAATAACCCATTAGTTAGAATATCATCATTATTCAAGGGTTTACTCACAAGCTGTTAGCAGCAGGAATTGAATAATAATGAAATATTTTGTTGTGGACATTACATCAAGGAGGCATATGTGTGTATCCACAAAAACTTGAGTCCTCTGAACAAATTGTTTTGCTGTAACAAGCCAGGAAAGTAAGTTACAGGGGTCTGTGGCCTTTGGAAAATGGACAGACTTGTGGAAATTTTATTGAATGAGTGATACCACAAGTCACCTATGAAGTCATCCTCGATAATCTCCAGGGTATATGTTACGATCACTCTCCACTATACCCTGGATGCATCCACGGCTTGGCCCCATAATTATATTACCTCCCTTGGCTGGCTTTTTATCCAATCAGGTGTCTACTCTAGGAAGTTGAGCGAACCAATCACAACTCACTTTTGATTCTTAAATTACCTAAGCGTATAAACTTGGCAACACAATTGATGCAGAGGTACTCTGAAAGAGGTAGAAGGAGTTCTTTCATATATTTTTTAAAAGTTTCAGATCTGTCAATTTGTCTATTATTTCCCAAAAAATCTGAGAGGCACTGCGAACAAACCTATCTTTATTGACACTGGCAAGCTCGGATATAACGGCGGCTTATCTGATTGGCTACTGGGAGAATGCGGAGAGAGCAAAGGGAGGTAATATAATTAGGGAGGTAATATAATTATGGGGCCAAGCAGTTGATGCATCCAGGGTATAGTGGAGAGTGATCGTAACGTATACCCTGGAAATTATCGAGGATGCTATGAAGTAGACTTGCACAAATCTCTATGGTAATAATCAACAGTTCAAATGAAAATTTCTAAAACAAAGCTACTTATAACAGACTGGCATCCTTAGAGACTTGTGAGACTTGCTTTAACCTCTATGTTACCCCAACATGCCTGTTCTGTTTAAAGTGGAGTATGGTTAATTGTCCAAAGATTACAGAAACTGAAGGTTCAGGTGAGCTCATAAATGCAAAATTCAAATCACACATACTCACCTGTAGCTGATTCTTCTGATGATCGTTGATATCGAAAATATTTCCTTCCCCTCGGTAGAAGCCACTGTATGACAAAGGTCAAGGTCGCCAAGACCAGAAAGCCTTGCACAAGCCATCTGCACACCAACCCAGCATCTGTGTGACAAAAGCACAGACTTAGTTAAGAATAGATTACTTGACTTCCATTAATATATCACATATATTGACAACTGCCTATTCAGAGCTATCAAGTTGTCAGGAGAACAACACAAGTATTGTTTATGTATGAAATTCTTGGTCAGTATGAATGAAAGTAAGAAACTGGGTAGATCTGGGCTTCATATATGTAAAACAAACCTTACGAAATAAAAGTTTAACAAAAGAGCAAAAGGATGATGTCAAACTTAAGCACACTTTCAAACATAAAAGTTTGTTATTACAATTTGATTAGTTTTGCAACACTGACTTATCCAAAATATTTCGTATAAATGAGTCTTGCCTTATTTGTGTTTGTAGAAAGTGTATATGCTGGAATGTTCTGAACACTTTTTGTAGAGATGCACATTAGCCAGTCTCAAGTGATGCAGGGACTGAGTATGGTTTGACACCACTTTCAACAATATTCCAGAAACTAGATGTAAGGGACACCAAATATGGGTTCAGACATGATACACATTTGGGGAATGGAAAGCTGGTGCTTTTACATGTCTCAGCTACTCCATTATCCATTATCCCTCTCAAGTGATGCGGGTCTTCGACTTTTACCAGCTTGGTAAAACCCACAAGAGTAAAAGTGGTGTGGATAGAAAGAAGGCCAATATAAAACATAATAGTGATCTGATGTCTACCTCCACTAGTTGGACAATATTTGGGTAATATCACATGGTTTCAGTTTTAACATGTCAGTGTTGCAGACATTTAAAATTCTGTTCAAACCAACCTACTCCAGAAGGACAGTGCATGGAATGTTGTATTCACATCAACTATGCCACAAAGGGAGAGAACTCTTCCAAACAGTTACCGATAATATACATACATTTATGAAATACAGTTCACTGTACCCATATGTACAGTGTAATAAGGTACAGTTTGCCCTATCATAGTTATTAACTATTAAACTACTTTAAACTAAATTAAAGTATTAAGTGTCTGGTCATACATTCAGATACATGCTACAAACAAAAATGACAAAAAGATCACTTACATTCAGGTTAAACATCTTCTCTTTATTATTTCAATTAAATATGTAACTATCGTAAACAACATGGAACAGTATGAACCTTGCTAATTTACTCCCAGTATATGTTTAGAGTCAGTCTCAGATCAAGCTGACATGACAAGTGACATTTCATGGATGTATTGTAGGACTGTGGACAAAGGCCCAGAAACATTGATATGTCAATGTTTAATTGTGAGTCTGGCTGAGGCATTTTTCCGCCAAAAACATTAACCTAATGTTTCCACCAGTGATGTTAGCCGACTGAAGCAACTGCAAACCATGAAGCTTGGTGTAGGAGACTACAAGGCAATGGCAACCGATATGAATAATGACGTCGGTTACCATGGGTATATTTGATTACGAGGGGGCAGACTAGAATGGCAAACCATGAAACTGGGTGTAGGAGTGAGTGAGTGAGTTAAAATTTAAAGTCACATTGGCAATATTTCAGCCATATCGTGACTAAAACTATCGTAATACATATCTCTCTCTCTAGTCTCTAAATTCATAATACATCTCTCTCTCTCTCTATATATATATATATATATATATATAGATAGATAGATAGATATAGATATATATATATATAAGAAGAAGTTTTGAAATAATCACACGACACGGATCTTCTCCAACATGTTTCACTTTTATCTTCATGGAGAAGTGATTACAGTTAAACAGATTATGTTATGACGTCACTTTGTCATGACGTCACAATGCAACTGTATACAAATGTTGTGACGCAGCATTGCCATGACGTCACATTGGCGGCTTTAAATTGACAGTACTAGTAGCACAATGAAAACAAGTATAATTCAGACACATTGCGTTACCTATTTAACGATGGACACAATTCTTTAATGAAAAAGTTTTCTTTTCTATTCATTTTATAGAAAGGGAATATTTTAAATTTTATTTTCTTTCCTGCTGCGCATTTGTCGACGTAAGCGCTTAAGGGGATGCACCTTGTTTTGGGGTCCTTAATCTGTTGTTTATGGACACGCATTCTGTCCCTCAAGCACTCCGTTTGTCCAATGTATTCTTCATGACACCCTTGGCATATAATAACATAAATGCCATGTTTTGTGGAGCAGTCCATGTTAGAGCGTACATGAAACAATTGTTTCCTGTTTTTGAACTTTATACATGAAGTTTCAAGTATATATTCACAAGTTCCACAATTTCCCCGTTTACATTTTGAGACACTGAATTCTGTAGGTTTAATACATGAGTCGAATGTGGCACGTGTCAATATGTGTTTTAAGTTACGGCTTAGGCGTTTACTCTTTATCATTGTTACATTAGCCATAATTCGATTCATTTTCATACCAGCATTTAAAATTGGAACATTTTGTCTTATGATATGAAAAAGTTCCGGATTCTTGGGATTGTGCATTGAAACATAGGCCAGATTGACAGTGTTATTTATTTGTTTATCACGAACTTTCAACAGAGTCCTTCTGTCTGTGTTTATTGCTTTCTTTATTCCATCTTCCACAAGAAGAACTTGGTATCCACGGGACTGTAGATATGATTTTAGTTCTGCAAGTCGTATGTTCCTTGTCGGTATTTGTGACACAATCATGCAGATACGTCTTGCTAAATTATAGGTAACTTAATTGGTAATGGTAACTTAATTGGTTATTGTGACTATTTTCGTGTGACTTATTTTCCTAGTCAAAATTGTGATTTTTATTCTGTGACTTTTTTCCTGTGACTTTCTTTCCGATCACCTCCCCTATATCCTGAATACATTTATTCTTTCTTTTTGACCATATGTTGCTCAACCTTGAATCCCAAATAAAACTCAACACAACTCTCAAACACGTGTTAGAATTCACCCAACAAAGGCAGAATGTTGAGCACAATTGAAAACTAATAGAATATATTGCCATCTCATTAAAGGGTGCTATTAAAGATAAATACTAGTAACTGAATTTTAAGGAAATCTTGTTAGTTTGTTAAGTAACTTTTATATTTTGGAGACAAACGTTACGAAACTTTTTTCCAGAGTTGGTCTCATTACATTCTGAGTTGAAATGAATATTTGATCATGAACCGATTTGGTGTTAGATTGTGATTCATCAGTATCATTTTGACACAAATTGTAGATTCTAATGACTTTGTCAAGCATTTGACCTTGACAATGACATCAACTCAACTTCTAAAATCCCCATCAAAGAAGGCGCACATATACCATTGAAATGACTCCAAGACAGATATCCTCTATTTCTTAATATCCCCCTGCTAAAAGCGAGCTAAGAGAGTTTGAGACCGATACACCGTAGCCCAGGAGATCTTTGCTCTGTGGGCTCAGTACAGGGAGGAGGAAATTTCAGTTCAACAGCTTCTTTCAAAAGTGAGCCACATCCATGGACCATCCCACCACACAGAAGAAAATTAAAAATGAAAGAAAGACATATGTGACTTGATGTATTTCTTAGCAACAATTCCTTTAAATAGATACATTTATCAGAAGTATTACTTCCTAATAACCTTTTTATGAAGAATATAATATCAAAGTTACCAAAAACTATGCATTTATGGCATACATTTAATCATTTTTAATAGATTGGGGCATTTCGACTACCCCCCTGGAGCAATTTGACCAATAATCGGGATTAATTTGACCAAATTTGCTGGGGCATTTCGTAGCTAGGGCTACAACTTTAAATATTCTTCACTTGATAACGGTCTAAGAATCTACATCAAAACATCACTCTATGCAATAAACAAGAAGTTGTCATCCATAACGCTGAATGTTATATTTTTGACTCACCAACTTCCAGAATGCCGATCAAACAACAAATCTTAAGTCAGAACATGTATACTTTATCATGCAACAGTTGCTTGTTACACAGAAAAACAGAAATGGTGAAAACAAATTGGTGTGATTTGTATTTGTAATTTTATCTAAATGTATCAGATAACACATGAGTAATTGGTTAGTTACAATTTGGTGTACATGAAGAGTTAAAGGAATTATGGAATATAGTCTCTGGACTCCTTTTCATTATATATTGTTAAGATAATGTAAGAATTTTTTTTTATGTAAAACATGTTCATTTCAGAGACTAGATGTTAGTTTGTTGTGTCGTAAATACCAATTCCATTTTATAATTATTTTTTATGTATTCTGCATGTCATGTAATTAAATGAAACATATGTTGCATAAGGTAGGGAGTGAACAAAATGTGTTAGTCCTGAAATCAATCCACGCAACTTGGTCAAACGACAAATTACCAGTTCGCCAGTCCTTAGATTTAACCCAATTTACTTTGGTTTCACAGACTCAGGCTAAATCGTAAAAAAGTGTGGACTTGCTACATTGCATTAATGTCAGCAAGCCCATGCCTGCTAGCTCTTGGCAAATCTTAATGTCTCAAATGTGTGAATCATTTTACTTCTCCTTACTACCTGTTTTGCCTTACTGTTTTACTATAATTTAAAATGAAGCAGGGCTAGATTTTCCGGATCCAGTTTAAATGTTGCTTGTTTCTATCAATTTTATATATTTCAGTGACTAGGCGCTGGTCTGTGCAATCCTTGTCAGATGTCTCACACCAGGGATTATACTGGCGCGCCAATAACTTACTAATCGTAAACAATACTAAACATGTCATGACGGAATCGTCAAAATACTACAAAACGTCACACCTTAATGTGTCGGCTGTTCAGCTGTCATTAAAAAAACATAGCTATGTGTCTTTTAATTACAGCAATTCCAAACACATACAAAAGAATTTGCGTCACTGTATTGGCTGTAACGCCCAGTTAGGCGATAACACGTATGTGCGGAGTGGAGAATTGCTCCATACCGTAGGCGGTGAAATATGTCACAGTCATGTGTTAGTTTAGTAATTGGTGTCATTATGCAGTCAAAATACATTGGCAGTTTTGTTTTCACAATGTCAAATGCCGGCAGTCAAGTATTGCTCAGAAAACAATAGGATTACTAGCGCTTAATCTTACATTGCTCCATGTCACTTTCACACTTCCTGTTGTTTACATCTTCACAATGGACTCGTCCGTCACGGCTCATTGACATCACCGTGCAGTGGCATTTTAGAGAATATCGTCTAATGGAGCTGTGACGATAGTGCCAATATGTGCTAATTGCCCAAACATATAACACACCACAATATACTTCATTTTTGTTATTGTTACTCAGAAATACTATCTGTACCCTCACCGTGGGTGAGTCTAATGGCTGCCATTAGGGCGATGTGCCAATCAAAGGCGCCAAACGCCGTCACATGGTAATGCGAAGGTCTATAAATTGAAACTCGCACACAAACTCGACCTCTTTTCCACCCAGTTATCAGGGAGAAAAGCACTACAGCCTCATCTGGCAATCATGAATGGCGATCACTACAGAAATATTAACCAACATTATGCAGAAGAATGCAGTCAGGATGACATTGGATCTTTCCTCTTTTCATCAGAATCTGTAGGGGAGGGACATCCAGGTACTTGTTCCGATTGTTTTACCTCGCAAACGCACATGGTTTTGAGAGGCACTGTTCTATGTCATTTTCTGAAAACGATCTTAGTACCAAAACCTCTGCAATTAAGACAGCATTCATAAGGAGTAGATAGTGTAATCGATCCAAACAACGTCTATACTTGTCGAAATGCGTTCAGAAGGTTGCATAGGCCGCCTTTACTTGAAAGGTTTGGCCAGACGAGTTTGTTTTGACTTGGGTTTCGTGTAACTGACAGCTCAACTTGGCAGAGGGTAGGTCAGTTGTAGCATTAATAATGCCGTGATCGTGTTTTGAAATGATGCTGTCTTTGATGGACAAATGATTTGGACATAATAGTCTGTCCTGCCTATAGAATTCAGCATCACAAAGTATGTTCCTGTGCTATTACGCACAGGAAAACTGGGTATTTGTTTACTAATGGAAGATGGTTTTGTGTTGAAGTTGGGTTGCAAGATACTGTCATTGAACTTCAACCCAAACCCACTTTCACTAGATACTTTTGTTCAGCAGTAATTCTAAAGCCGATTCATGCTCTCAAGTTTCAATAGCTATGTGTGTACCTTCTGCATTCTTGCCATGATCTATGTTTTGACAGTGGCCTGTAAACAATAAGCCCAGCGATTTTTGTATCTATTGTCATTCATGTGTACTTGTAAATTCAGTGTCAGGCAACAGGCTGTCTTCAGCTTGCACCATTTTGGTTTGTTTCTCAATGCTCCGTATCCTGTTATTAAAATGGGACAAGTGTGGCCAATAGCATCATGATCAACAAGACGAGGTGTGCCAAATGGCATGATCTGTCATAGGCGTCCAATGACAACGGTCACAATATTCCATCCGTAATATTCACAAATGTTCGTCACCTTTTCTCGAGACATTCAGAGATGACTAGCCAAATGTTAAGTCAGTTTAATGACAGTGTGGTCCCAGTTAAGTCTGTAAACTTCTCCACATTGTGTCTGCTTGTCTGAGTGACATATATTACGACAGATTGTGCGACAGTATATGGGCAGAATTCTAAGGGTGCCCCGTTAATGTCCTTACTTCTATATTCCTTCAAATGTACGATGTATGTATAGACACGTATCAAGGCTTTGTTTTATATGAACAGAGCATGTATCTCTCTCACTTACAATCATGATAATTGTCATATGCTCAAAGTTATGCTGATGTGACTAATTTAAAATCACTCTTGAACAGGCTTGTCACGGTGACTACATTAAATAGGTTCAAGCGTTTCACTTAGTTCTGCTGTGAGTACCTGTCTTGCGTACAAGAGGTGGTAGACTGTATTGTGTACGCTTTACGTCTGACTGTTGCAAGTTCTGGCCAGTGGATTTCAAAGTTTTTAAGTTAGTGGTCCTTTTTAGTGGAGTTGGATAAGTAAACAAAGTCAAATCCTATCTCGTGTTAATTTCGGATATATTTGGTTTGAAGCTAATCCTCCAGCAAGGTAGAGTTTTTGTAGTGAAGTCTTTTCATTACTGCATTGCAAGATTCTTAATACATATTCAATCAGTCTAATATGAATATATTAAGTTTGAATAAAATAAGCTTTCAGATACCAGATACCTTTCTGATAGAGAAAGTTGACATGATGGCCACAAGCTTGATCGAATAAACAATTACACATTCATAAATCATAAAATGTGTTATTAGTTTGTACTTTACTTCTAAAAAAAGGTAAAAAAATATGTATATAAATTCTACCTACCTACCCTAAATTTTAAAGAGGTGTAATTGGAACAGTATTGTTTTTTATATGTCCTAAAGTGAAGGTCAACATGTAGACACAGACAAGAGTGTACCAGGCAATGTCGGTCACGTCAAACTCTCTCAAGATAACCTCAATAGATTACCAAATGTTCTCATACATTCCACAAACATTTGCTCTAAGTATATTCAACAATGTCTGTAGAACCCTAAATTAGGTAATCTGTTCTAAATCAGTGTTCTTTATAACATTGCTTCTATTGGCATTATTACTAGTTAGACTTCATTTTGAGAATTTTGCTCCTTGTTCCTCAATGAATGTAAGCCTCGCCCTGTCAGTAGAGGGAATTCATGGCTGGATATAAGGTAAAATTATTCATTTCTAAATGCTCTGGCTCATGTGCAAAATCCTCTTTGATGTAAGAGCACTTTTAATAGAGTAGCTAATTTTTTCCTGTGTTGCGATTTATAGATAAGAATTGTGTATGCCATAGAACAGGATAGATTAATTAACATTAGCGTCCATGTGGAGATAAATTTACTGGTTTGAACTGGACTGGAGAAGCTTGTACTTGTTCACTGACTGGTATATTTCACTCGTGTCATGTACAACACAACAGTGAAGTGATGGATCTGTTTTGATAAACACTTCTTTCTGACATTTCCTAATATGTCAGTTTTTTATGACCGTGGTCTAGGGTCAATCCAGTTTTGAGATTATCACTTGGATTATGTGACTGGTGACATTTTAAAAGTTCTGTAATTAATAGGCTTTTGTAATGGTGTTTATTTTCCATCATTTCTTAGAGCTAGTGAAGAAATAACATGAGACAAGAGTAAATCTCAACTTGAGTTTGTAAGATAGCTAAATGTTTGATATTCACCTGCTATTAAAACTAATGGCCCTGTCTAACCTTGCGTTATTTTAGTGGTGTAAGCAATCATTTATTTTCCATGTATTCTTAATGACAACATTTTGCTTTGCAGACAAAATATGTGACCAGATCTCTGATGCTATCTTGGACGCACACTTGAAACAGGACCCCAACGCCAAGGTAGCATGCGAGACCGTTGCCAAAACTGGCATGATTCTGGTTGCTGGAGAAATCACATCCAAAGCTCATGTTGACTACCAGAAAGTCATCAGAAACACAATCAAACAAATCGGCTATGATGATTCTTCAAAAGGTAGGCCATTGCTCTTTCTGGATGGGCAGAAACTAAACGCTGTTTTGCATTACAAGGGAATTAAATAGTTTCTGGTATCATTAAGTATGATATGTTAACAGGTTAGAAGATCAATGCTAAACTTGCTCGACTCAATTATCTTTGAACAAAGCCCAGCATTTGTGTCTCTTCTTCAGGATTTGATTACAAGACCTGCAATGTATTGATCGCCTTAGAAGAACAAAGTCCAGATATCGCACAAGGTGTTCATGTTGCCAGAAATGATGAGGACATTGGTGCTGGAGATCAGGTATGTCAACAGTTATCTCCCTTGAATCTACACAGATATTTGTGTAGTTGCAGCTGGATAAAGAAAACGTTTTTACCTCTAAAATTGATAGTATCATTAAAAATTCCAAATTGGTAACACAAATTTCTCTATTCTGGTTGCTATGGTTATGACTAATATTCTGGCTTGGCAGAGTTAAATTGTTACAGGACCAATAAATAAGACTGGCTGACTGAGTTTGGTTTTACACCGCTTTAAGCAATATTCCAGCAACATCACGGTGGGGGAACCAGAAATGGACTTCACACAATGTACCCATGTGGGGAGTCGAACCCGTCAATAAATAAGAAGCCATTTCTAACAAAGCAATGATGTGATCCCCAGTTTGCCTGCCGAGGACAATACAGCTTTTCTCACCGCAACCACATACATTCCTGAACTATCCCAGTTTCAGCACTGGTCAGTAATTGTGTACAAGTTTACACTGAGTATGGTTTGTTACATTGTCTGCCATTGGTTGGACTTGATGGTGACATGATGATGCTTGTTTCAGGGTTTGATGTTCGGCTATGCCACAGATGAGTCGGAGGAATGCATGCCTCTCACCTTGGTGCTATCTCATCAGCTCAATGCCCGCATTGCTCAACTGCGTCGATCAGGCGAAATGGCATGGGCTCGTCCAGACTCCAAAGTACAGGTATGTGCAGTAAATCCAAGTATCGCCTGGTATCTTTCGATACAATATGGACTGACAATACCACTGGTGTCACAATACATCATGACAAATATTTGTAAAACATGAAATCAATATGGTCGTTTTAAATTAGAGGATAGTAATTAAAAGTATTGATATTAGATTCTATTGCATAACATAACATTCTCTCATTTATGGGTGAGTTTCTTCCCAGTTCTTTTGTTGAGACTGTTTCAGATGACTTCAGTATAAATATGTTGACATTATTGTTTCAGGTGACCATTGAGTACAAGTATGTTAAAGGTGCTGCCGTTCCCATCAGAGTACACACAATTGTGATCTCCGTCCAGCACGACGAAACCATCACACTGGAGCAACTCCGTAAAGATCTCAGAGAGAAGGTTTGCGACCGGGTCATTCCAAACAAACTTGCTGACAGCCAAACCATCTACCATCTGCAACCATCTGGAAGATTCATCATTGGAGGCCCACAGGTAAGGGTTGATGGTGTTCTGTCTATAGACAGTGCAGTAGTGGTGACAACCCTCCAATCATACATTTAGCTGTCTCTCAACTGAAGCAATTTATATGTAATTGGTACACTTCTATAAATAGTCTTTCCGAAAATTAGAAAGATTTCATACATGGCAACTCCAATCATAGTATTTACTGACAGGTTCTTTATTTTCAGCTGTATTGCCAGGTATCAAATATGCAGTAATAATATGGCGCACATCTTTACTTGTTCATAACTGTAATAAGTCAGTAGGTAGCCTAATGGTTAAAGCGCCAGTCAGACCAGAGTTCGAATCCCCATATGGGCTGATTTCTGGTGTCCCCCGCCATGATATTGCTAGAATATTGCTAAAAGCGGCGTAAGACCACATTCACTCAGTCATAAAATGTCAGTGTGTAGCATTGAACATCAAGTTATGCTTTTGAGTTGGAATTGTATTTTTACTGTTAAGAGTGTGTATGTAAAATTAAGACCTGTTCAGCCACTGCTGTATTTAGTAAAATATTTGTATACAGTTGTTTCAAGATAAAGTACAATCATTAATCAGGCAGTTGTAACCACGTGATAATTGTTGTTGCCAGGGTGATGCAGGTCTGACAGGCAGGAAAATCATTGTCGACACGTATGGTGGCTGGGGAGCTCACGGTGGAGGGGCCTTCTCAGGCAAGGACTTCTCCAAAGTGGACAGATCAGCTGCGTACGCTGCCCGATGGGTCGCCAAGTCACTGGTCAAGGCAGGACTTTGCAAACGTGTTCTTATTCAGGTGAGAAATCCTCTTTTTGACAAGTGTTCACTAAATCTTTGATTACTGAAGACGCGGAAGGTGGAGAGGGGATAGAAAGTGGTTCAAGTATTTGCTCAGACTAGTCATCCCAGCTGTGATATTGCTGGAATGTTGCTAGAAGTGGCGCTAACCCATACTCACTCACTAAAAATACTGCAAGTCAGGAAGGGAACTGTACATTGATGGTGGCAGCTGATATGCAGGTCCAAGTTGTCCTTCAGGGAGGCACATGTGCCACTGAGATCAGTGCAACCTGATATGCTGTACTGTTCCTTGACCATACCAGAAACACGTGACCATGGGTATGAATCCCAGTCTGTCACCTTATATTTCAAGGTTTGTAATCTCCATACCTGTTCACCAGATTTGTAAGCACCTGCATCGTTTTCCAAATGATTTTGGCCTCAAACCCAATTCTAATTCACTCTACTCTTCAGTTTGTTACTAGGTTAATTAGGTTTGAATACACTAGGTCAGACGAAATTTGAAAGTTCAGTACGATTATTGAAGTATGTGTTTTCTTGATTTGAAATGCTTGCAATGAAGTACCTAATTTCCTGTGTTTTTTGTTCTGTATCAGGTGTCCTATGCCATCGGTATTGCTGAACCCCTGTCCATCACAGTGTTCAGCTATGGCACATCTCATAAGTCAGAAGCAGAGCTCCTGGAGATTGTCAAAAACAACTTTGATCTCCGACCTGGAAAAATTGTCAAGTAGGTTTTCCTTTCTGAAATACTAAACTATTTGGATTAATTACTCTGTTGATGTGTTTATACCCTTGTAATATTTTGATCTATATTTTTGTGGCATTTGCCAGAGAAGCTGTTTATTGTTACTACTTTGCATGCTAATAGATAAATGACTATTAAATCTTTCCCATCAAAATGTTGAGAAAAGGATGTCGTGTCCTCACTCTTTCATTACATTGCATTCTGGTGTCCCCTGCCGCGATATTGCTGGAATATTGCTCTAAGTGGTGTAAAATTAAACTCACTCACTACATTGTGTAAAATTGCTTTCTTTCAGGGAGTTGGACCTGCGTCAGGCCGTGTACCAGAAGACCGCCTGCTACGGACATTTTGGTCGGCCAGAATTCACATGGGAGCAACCTAAGAAACTGAAGTTTTAAAGTTGTTGTATTTGCAAATATTTTTTTTTTATAAATGAATAATTTTATCATATGACTATTTTACTATTATAATTTATATGTGCGTGGAAGATCTGGGGATTTTTCGGGAGTTTTTCCCGGTAGGCCACAGTAGCTCGAAGGATACTTCGACGCTGTTCTTGCCCACAAGTACAGGGGATTGCTGGGGTCCTGGCAATACAACTTCCCATCTGCTGCTCTGGCAATTACAGTCTCGGATTTCGCCTTCTTGTTATTGCAAATGTGCAATTTACCTTGACTTTTTATATGCACAATCTGGAAGCACATTTGTCTTGTGTTTATAGAAATTTATGGAAAAGAGCACTCTTTATAAACACTCGGGCCTACTATCCAGCTGAATCTTCTCTTACAGAAGTTGTTTTCTTGTGAATGTGAGGGATATTACAACAATCATAATAACAGTTACATTTCGTGATTTTTGTTGTCTGCTGGGTTTTATCAATTTTTTACACCCAGTCGGAGATTGACCAGAGATATGTATATTCTGAAGTAATGCCGACATGCGATATGCATCCTAGTGAGGATGCATTTCACATTTTGTGTTGTAACTGTAGGTGTATATGCTTGTTGCAGGCTGTCAAGGTCATTTCAATACCATCAGTGGGGTCAGTGACCTTGGTTCTGAGACTTGTGTTCATATTGTCCATATTTATGGCTTTGCACCTTTTTATAGTGCTTCTGTAATGTAGTCTTGCACATTATCAACAGTATTCCAAGATGTTTACGTTTATAATGTGTGTTAGTCAGATCATATTTTTTCCTTTGAAAACAAATCTTTCATTCCTATTTGTCTTGCCAATATCAAACCTGATTTTGTTTGAGTTCTTGGCAGCCTGTTGGTGAAACCCATGGTGTTTTAATGAGGGTGTCTTGCAAAAGTATTGTACATTTGTTGGAGATTTGATCTTCAAGATGAACCTTCCTCATTAGGTGTTGAATTGGTGCAAAGTGGGTTGTGTGAGTAAGTTTGTGATGTGTCGTATCATCTCTGTCATCGTCCTCATCATCACCATGGGGCAATACCTCACTGTTGGTCACTGCTGTGACGCCTTGTGTGATTGAGACTGTGTGTATGTGAACAGCTGCAATATGTTTCAATTCTCACTCTCTTGCTGGAGGGCTTTGTATGAGATGGTAACAATAAACAGGTATTAAAACAAGTATTTGAGTTGTGTTGTATTGACAGTTCATGAACCAGGGTATTACCACCCTTGGCGTTTGTGCATTGTTTGATGGGGTACAAGGTTCTGGTTTTCTTAGTCCCCCTAAGGGTCATTAGCTACAGTAATTTGATTTGCTGGCCAACAGCCGAGCGTGACTGAGCTACCGTCTTTAAGGCCTGCTGAAACAATGAATACATGTATACAATGAGTGTGGTTCGGATTCTGGATGGTACTCTGTGTAATCCAAACTATAGTGAGTTTAGTTTTACGCAGTACTCAGCTGTATGGTGGCGGTCTGTAAGTAATCGAGTCTGGACCCGACTATCCAGTGATCAACAGCAGGAGCATCGATCTGCACAATTGGGAACCGATGACATGTGTCGACCAAGTCAGGCCTGACCACTCGATCGATCCAGTAAGTCACCGCTTACGACCGCACCGCTAAGTATAACATGTTACAGAGGAAATAAACTCTGAGGCATTGTCATTCTTCACAGGTTGGTTGGTTACCCACGGACTGTGAAGATTTTGAACTTACAAAAAGCGCATGTTAATTTCTTCAACCCAAAGAGAGAAAAGGATTATGGTAGTTTGCAAGTATGAAGTAGTGCTAGTATTTGGAAATGCCCCTGATTTCCTTGAGAACTTTGATTTAAGTGAGTAAGACTCTACACCGCTTGTAGCAATATTAGTGGCGGGGACACCAGAAATGGGCTTCACACATTGTACACATGTGGCAATCGAACCCGTGTCTTCAGCGTGATGAGCAAACGCTTTAACCATTAGGCTTCCCCAACGCCCCACTTTGTTTGAAACAAGCAGTAGTGCGAATAGGTCCAGAAGGGAGTGTGTGGATCCCATTTCTGTTTTCGAAGCTTGATGTTTGATATGGTAATGTAATGTGAAAATAGACATTTGATTTACTTGACTAAATGAAACCCCATTACATTGCCACTGCACTGAATACTAACGACCTTGTACCCAAAGAACGTTTTGTGAGTACAACTGATATTGTGACAGACGACTATACTTTACGTGACCTTGCAAAGTCTTCACAAAAACACCAATAGCCAAGCCCACGAGTACCAGCCAGTAATGAGAACGATATTACGAGTTATGCTCTGTGGGCAATCCCTTCAATTGTGAGCACCACAAAGCACCGTTTCAGTAGGTGCCAGATGTGGGCATGGTTATATATGAAGTAATATTGAATAGCTGAGTTGTAATCAAACATGATGGACAGGAGGGTTAGCCTTGTGAGGTAGAGTGTTCGCTTGTCACGCCGAAACCCGGGTTCGCTTCCCCACATGCGTCCAATGTTTGAATCCCATTTCTGGTGTCCCCATCTGTCATGTTGGGGAATATTGTTTAACTACAGGGCAAAAATATATATGCTCACTCACTAGATCCCCAGCAAAGCTTGAGCGGTTCATTTTAACAATATACCATTCAAGTAAATGTTTACAATTAAGACAATTTTACAGCAAGTTTGGGTACGTATGACGTAGCACATAAGCTCCGCCGCCTCCGTGGTGTAGTGGTTAGAGCGTCCGCCCGGAGAGCGGAAGGTCGCGGGTTCGATACCCGACCGCGTCATACCAAAAGACGTTAAAATATGGTACTTGTTGGCCCCTGCCTAGCGCTCGGCATTAATGGGTACAACAAGGACCGGTCGGCTCGAAGTCAGTATAATGTGTCTGAGTGGGGTATTCATGCTTAACTGCGGCATGGTATCTCAGTGGGCTAGCACCATAAAACCAGCTTAAGTCTGGGCTAGTACAAGCAGCCGCACATACACATACACACGCATGCACGTCGTCATATGAGCGAAATATTCTCAAGCACGACGTTAAACCCAATTTCACCTCACCTCACCTGACCTGAACATCTCAGATTACCCGACAAAGGTTCCCATTTGGCATTGTTCCTGTCCAGGGAAATTGTTAAACTGAGATTGACTTAAAACTCCAGGTCTGATGTAAGTATTTTGCATGTTTTATACGTGACAGCACAGCAGGCGAGGAATGAAACATCGACCAATGAATGAACTGATTTAACCCATTTGTTAACAATGAGTGTTAATCGATCTTAAAACAGTGGGACTATGCGCATAAGTGGGCGTGACGTGTCTTGGTGAAAAGGTAACTTTAAAGATTGGTCATTTAATTTTTCTCATTTTGTTTTTATAAATTTGTAGACATCATGAAAATAGCTTCTTGAAAGCATTTGGCATGATGAACAAGGGAGATAATTCTATGGATTTCAGAATTCTATATGCCTAATAATACAACACAATCTGTCTCTTGTAATTACAGCGTTTGTATTTTGTTTTCATTCATTTGTTGTAGCAAAGTTCCCTTAAGTTACACCACGTTCTTCTGTTTCTGACTTCTGCCGAAAGATGTTCATTACTCATTAGCTGTACCAAAGATAAATTACAGCTAATCCTCTTTGGTACAGCGAGGGATCAGTCATGGGGAATGGCACCGTCATAGAGAAGGATCCAGAATAGTATCAGGGAAATATAATTCTACGTTAACAGAATCATATCAAATATCATTGACAAATTCAGTTAAATACAACCATCACTATAAATGGCTCAACTACATTAAAACAATATTAGATAATTTTGGTATGTCGATTATATGGCATCCTCAATATATAGTTTCCTTTTCTTGGTTAAAAAATGCTGTTAAACTTAAAATTTCAGTTCAATCGCTTCAATTGCTTAACAACCCCATATCATCTTCTAAAGCTGTTGTCTATGAATGTATGAAATCTCATTATAATGTCCATCGGGCCCCTCCCAAATTGGATATGAATTTCATTATTTATTTCCATGTTCTAAATTTACTACCTCCAGAAATATGTATTTAAAGAATAATTTTGTAAACAATCTTAACTATTATAACATGTGAGCCCTATTTGAAACTAATAATGTAAATCTATGTAAATTTCTCTCCATCATAATGTCTGTCAATATGACATGATTAGTTTATTCATACATAATTGCTCAAAATGTTTTAGCAGTGTAACCAATAATACTGCTCAATAATGCTCAATAAAGCAGTGTAACGAATAATACTGAGCCTAAGTTTGCTTAGACTGAGCCATACTCTCAATTGTGATATATTTCTGAAAAATACCCCCATAATGTTTTGCATGTGTTCTATAAGCTTACGGTAATAAAGTTGATTCATAGAGTTGCTTCCCTTGGTCGTGCAAGCCTCGACGAGTTTGAATACCAGCTTCCCTTGGATACCTCGTGCTCAGTCACCATGGAGAAGTGCTCCCTCCCAGCTAGACTAAGGCTTAGTCTCTGAATATATATAATTTTGATAGTTACAAACAAGCCCATTTATATTGAAAAGGAGCCCTGAACCTAAGGAAATCTAGACTTGCTTTATTTAGGGCTTTAGCACTGCAGAGAGAGCTTGGCAGTAGGGAAATTAATGTGGTTCAGGGACTGTGAGACAGACTACCTCCCAGCTTACAGAGGTCTTGACCAGTGTCTCAACCGACTGAGACAACAACTTGAAAGTGGAAGAAGATCGCCTATTCAGCTCCTGGACGCAGCAGGTCACTTATTGAAGCTTCAATAAACTCAGACATCCATGAACTACAGTACAGTGTACTACTTAACAGCCAGTGTTACTTTGATTATTGTATCATATTGTACTATGATTTGCTGTGAATAAAAAATATGAAAGTAGAACAATTTTTTTATTTTAATGCAAAAAGCCATGTTGTCTACATGTGCTACTTATCAAATTAAAGGAAAACTAAGGGGGATTCCATTTATATCTGAAGGGGGTAAACTTATTACTCATGCATGAAATAACAGTCACCATACCATGAATTGTTGTTTTTAAGACTGTAGGCGAAATGGGATGTAGGCGAAATGGGAACATGCCCTCCCAGCATGTCACTTTGACCTCACTCCTTTTTTTGCCACAACAGGCATACATTGAAAATGAAAACTTTTTCTCCCCAAACCAACTGATAAACTACTGGTCAACAGCGACATCTAGACTTGTTGAAACAAGTGAGCCCCTGGTTAAACGTTTATCGTGAAGTTGTCCCACTACGTAACCTTCTTTTGGAGATTTATTGTGCACAGTACTTACATAAATTACATAAATGAATTAAACTCTTTCAATGAACCATTTCAGCAGCAACACATTTAATTTCTGTACATACGCTTATATGTGACGTGCGGCCAAAACTATTGTTTCGTGGTCGAGGACAGCACACCATGTGTTGCTTGTGTGATCGATCTATGGCTGAACTACAGCCTTTCGGGGTCGAATGAATAGAAATCCTGACAATGGTTTCGATTGTTCATACTATTCGACCTGTGTAAACTAATCTAAATATTTAGGATATCATAAGATGACAACTGATCAGCACGTTCAATGTCCATAACATTGTCGTTACACGTCCAAATGCGAGACAGTGGTAAATCAACATAGGCGGATCCAGAGGGTGGGGTGTGCAGGGGCGCACACATCCCCCCCCTTTGTGCTGAAAGTTTGTTAAATGACCATTGAAACTCAGGTGAAAATGAAGTGTGCACCCCTCCTTTTCTCAATAGTATGCACACACACACACCACACCACACACACCCTTCTCAAAATGCTGTATCCGCCTCTGATCGACAATATCATAAACTCAGTAACAGGTGAGCAGCGAAAATAGCATGAAGTTTCAGACAAGGCTTGCCACATTCCGTGCAACTCTGTTGCCAAATCACGAACAATATCTGTCGGACTTGGTACAAAGCGTCATCCCACACATGCTCTGCAAGGAAGAGATCCGTTGAATTTGCAATCTAAGTAAACTTAGACTCAGTATTATTCGTTACACTGCTATACTGTATAGTAGTGTAACGAATAATACTGAGCCTAAGTTTACTTAGACTGGTTTAATTCGCCGACCAAAGCAGCACTTGAATACTGTACTGTTGAAGAAAAGTCATATAGCAATCCTAGTCGTGA